GTGTGTGTGTGTGTGTGTGTGTGTGTGTGTGTGTGTGTGTGTGTGTGTGAGAGGAAAGGGAGGAGGGTCATTTGCCTCAGTGAAGAAGTAGAGATCTCATCTCACTGTGACCCTCTGCCCCATGACTCTGAGATGTCCAGTATTGAGACTTTGGCTTCGGGGCCAAAGTCATCTGGAAAGCCAGAAGAATGGATGTGGCACGCCAGCATCATACACCTCCCACTCATCATGCTTCACTGCTATCGCACAACTTCCCCACGGATAATGACCATGCTCCTGTCTGGTACACATATGTATGCACATGTGTAAGTGCCCACACACACAAAAAAGAGACAGGAGAAGGAAAACAGCTGGAAAAAAGAAAAAAGTCCTGAGGATTGTGCTGTTTCTGCTGCAGGCAGTTACAGACAGTGTTCGGACAGCTATAGACAGCACAAACAGAGGCGTGGAGCAAGTGAAAAGCTAAATATAGCTGTTGGTGTGATTTTGGTGTAGTGCTATGTTTTCTTAATTTTTAAGCCTTCTCACTGACTCGTCTTTTTGCAGTTCAGTGTTTCAGGTTTCACCTATTTGCAGATTATGATTTTTTCTGTAAAACATAACTCCAACATATTTGGGAAAATTTGCACATTTCTGGAATGAGCATATCTACAATATTCTAAAATAGACGTTCAGCTTGAGGAGCTGAAATGCCGAGGCACAATCCAGAAGCAGCATTCATTTTCCTTGTTCCCGACTGGCTGCGTACCCAATAAGGAAAACTGTAGATGTATCAATAATAATTACAATGTCAGATTTTGAGTAGGATTCAAGAGCAGGCAAGAAAACTTAAGACATATGAAAAATCTAACATTTACGGATGATGACAATACCATATGATAACAGAAAAATCAACGGTGTTAGGAGGTCAGGCAATGAGTCATGGTAGGAAAAACTGAATGGAAACAGAAGGATCTGACAAGGACGAAATGCAACCGGCTGGCTTATAACTCCTGAACCAGGTGAAATTAATCAGGAGAATGCAGCACAGCTGGATGAAAACCTAAGCAAAGGAGTTCAGCAAAACAGACCAACTATAAAAAATTAACAGAGGTGAACAGGAGGATACATCAGAATGCATCAAATTACATCAGCAACGGTTGATTCGGTAATAAGATATAGTTTCAAGGAGAATTGCTGCCAGATTTCTGTTTTATATTTACAGAACTCGCATATCATGTAAACACATATGTAAATGTATTTGTAAAAAAGTAAATATATCAATTAAAATAATATCCACAGTAGTGTAGGTAGTGCCCACCAGAAAATCTGGAATTTAATAAAAAAAATAAACTGATAAACAGAAGCCAACAGATGCATTCCATATTCTAAAACTAAATGGTGATAAATAAATAATAAATATATATAAATATCAATAAATAATAATTTGGAAAAAAAAAAAACAGGTAAAAGATAGTGATCTCAAATAAAAGCAAATGCAAAAAACATAAGCACACCCTGAACCCCAAACAAAAATGTCTTTGTTAACAACTCATTTAAAGTCCACTGACACTTATTTGCTCAATGTGTGAGTGTGATGATGAACAAACCCAGCTGCTCTGACAGGTCTGTCATCCTTTGGGCTCACCTCTGTTTGGGTTTTAATAAGGAAAGTTTGAGATATCCACTCAAGCTGCGCTAGCAAGGCTGGGCTGCAGAAACAGCTCACAGAGGCTCAGGATGATAAGATGACGTGATCTGGCAAGGAAAAGATGACACGATAGCGTGAGGGGTGATAATGAAAAATTGCATACAAAAAGATGTCAGCCTTGAATAATGGGTTTGCTTGCAGTCTGCCTGTTGCAGCTGTGAATGGTGGCTTATCAATGAGTATTTTGCTGAATAAAACTGCTTGTTTTCCTGTTGCTTTCGCCCGTTTTGTTCTCTTAGAGGTAACAGTAAAATATAGCACTTGTCCTTCACTGTCATTTCTTCATCCTACAGTGTGTCCTCTACAATCATTTCTTTTTTTTCCCAGTCACACAAGCTGTAATTTCAAATATGTTGCAGGTATTATATCATTTATTTTGCAAGCAGTTGCATAATCATAACTGCTATGGCACGCACTGAAGTTCCCCTCCCTGCACAGTTCACCCACTCACACCCCCAATAGGCCTTTTTCACCTGGTGTTCTGCACTGAGCTGACTTTAAATGTCAAACAAGGTAAACTCTCCAAAGGGAATAAGGGAAAATTCCTTGACGTGAACAGAAGTGAGGAAGTTTTCCAACTGAGCGGAGCTAAATGTCATGATGAATATATACGTAAGGTATGACTGGTGTCATCTGTGCATCAATCTTCTCTTCATTTGACTTTCATCGCACAGCTCCTGTCAAAATGATAATTTGCTTGTTTGTGTCTTGTTTTGTTTTTTTTCGGCGTACGTAAATTTAAATAACTGAAAACAATTTGAATCAAGAAAACATTTTGATAAAAGCTTTTCACAGGTTTGTAAGTAAAAGTAGAGTAATTTTACCTACGTCCTTTCGACTAACTGTTGAGATAAGCAATCATAAAAATTTAAATTTGTGTATCATCGTGTTTTCTTGTGGTTTTAAAATGTTCCCTATTTCAACTGATTGCATTTTGTCTTGTATCAAAATAACAAGCCAATGCAGCCAATAAGGTCATGGTAGTGCCAGTAAATATATTGTAAGTACACAAAAAAAACATAAAAATAAATAATAATAATCACAAAAACAAAATGTTAATTTTGATGATGGCTCACGGCTCATGAAAACCCAAAAATGTGCGTATTGGAAATGCAGATCATTACATCGGACTGATGAAAGGAGAAACATTTTTAGCACAGAACTGTCAGACTACTGCAAAGTATGTTCATGTACTGTACAGTATATGCACAACATACTTTGTCAGGGCTTATTTTGCATGATTGACTAAAACAATGCTGAATTGCATGGAGATCATGCTGTGATACTGCTGAAGTATTAAGGATTTGAACTGTTGGGCAAGAGTTTCTGATAAATCCTTCCACATATTATAGCTAGCCAGTTTTCTGGCCAATCAAGCACAGTGATAGCATAATAAACCAGATATTGGTGCTTTTGGCCTTGTGAGCAGGAGCCAAGTCCTGCTATGATAGCATCTCCATAAAGCTTGTCAGCAGAGGGAAGCATGAAGTGCTTTTCCTGGTAGATTGCTGTGCTGACTTTTGTCTTGATAAAACCCAGCAGATGAATACCAGCTGTGGTTACAACTGTTTGTTTTTTTATTTCCTGCAAACTCACTTCTTCTATCCACTCAAGTTTCCATTAACATGCTTGAATACAGCTATGAATGCACACAATAAAGTACTTGTGGAACACAAAGTATTGGATTGTATCATTTTATAATAATGCAAAAGTAGTTGTTCTTCATTTTCAACAATAAACTAAACATGCAATATTTTAAATTAACTAAAAACGCTGCTTGACTGGTAGAAAAGAGATCTGGAAATAATTGTGTTAACAAGAAAAAAAGGGTCTCAGCTTTTAACACGTCCTAAAATTTGTAATTCAAGTGTTTGCAATTCTAATATTTTTATTCGATTACCTGATTCATCGCAAGAATAATCGATAGGTTACTCGATTACTAAAATATTCGTTTACAATAGTCCTAACCAGTACACCTCAATAGATAGCATAAAACAAGCCTTTATTACGTTTCCTGCTTTCGTTAGGTTCCCACATGCCATGTGTCCATGTATGTATCCAATAGATATGCCTTATATCTTAGAAACACCACCTTCATTTCATTAAACTTAAAAGCTTTGTTAAGTATCTAAATTTAGAACCAAACCATGATCTTATTGGTTCCAACAGTCTTCAACAGTGAACACACTAGCAGAGGGGGAGAAAAAAAGCCACTCAGTTTCCCATTACTTGACTTTTGCAGCATGCCAGTTAGCAGCTTAAGAAATGTTCTGTGCAATCCTCTGAAATTTGAATTACAAATATGGTGGCCTGCACTTGCACCTCAATTTAAAATGTCATATTGAGGAAAATAGCTTCCCCCGCTGTCGTACTTAGAGCAACAGAGGACTTTTAAATCTCTAAATAAAGAGGAATGAGAGGGTTGATCATGTTTATTAAGTCTGCCTGGCTTCATGTGCTGAATAGTTCTCTGTGGCAGCCTACAGGAATGGTGTGGCATGAAGCTGAGTAGATGTGAAATGTGGGCACAAGCTGTGGGCGAGATACGCTTCCTAAGTCTCCATAGAGATGACAGGGAGACAGGAAGGCCCTGTGCACACTCGGCCATCACTAATTCAAGATGGCAACCACAGTCAGAAGAGCGGGCATCTAATGATAATGTGCATGAGGAGGTCATTGCTGGTGACAACAGTGCAAAACATCTGTTTGTAGCTACTATGTGGAATACCTTGTATCATTTTCTGCTTGATGGAACTTTGTCCCCTGCCATCTGCCTATACTGTAACATGCAACTGGGACAGGAAGGGGGTTCTGGAGACAATGGGCCATCTGTTAAAGTCAGAAAGTTATTTGTCTTTATTTATTCTTTATCAGAGATCGTGAAGTCAAGTTAAGGGCGAAAAACTTTCTGGAAATTATTTAAAAAAAAAAGAGACCCAAAACAAATGTCCAAAAACTCATGTGAACAGGTGTGTCTCTGCTTCCATTTCCTAATTTTGTTTTCAGAAATGCTTTTACAGAACAGTTCAACAAAAAGCTAGAAAGCCAATAGAAACTGTAAGTAATTTAAATATGCAAAATGAAATAGAATCAAAGCAATAAAAATATGCTTGCACGCCTCTGAATGCATTTAGTGAAATTCCCAAATCTCTAATGGATTCTTATGCAAAGTTCCTGCTACACTTGGACTCAGATGGAGGAATACTGTCCCAGTACAACTTTGAAAGACTCTTTGTCTCAAACTGCTTGCACAAGCAGCTTAATTGGAATCTTTTCAGATCAGACCTTCAGTCTTCCTATAGTCCAGTAGACTTGGCTCAATTGTTTCAAAATTGCAATATTTGTCACATTTTCAACTGGTGTGGTTCAAATTCACACTGGGCTAGGTCAAATGAACTAAGCACTACAAAAAAACCTGCTTAACTCCTCATTTGTGGTGGCACCAAGAACCACTGAAGAAAACGGCACAAAAAAGCTCTTAAGATACTCAGCACAACTTCCTTCTTCACAAAACGTAAACAAAAATTAAGTGCCATCAACTTTTAGAGGTTATACTTTTATCTTTATTAAAAGATCACTATCCATTTCTCCCATTAGCAACAGACTCACCTATTTATTTTAGCTGCATTTAATCAGAATGTCCTGCACTGCTTCCTGCTTTTGGAGAAATTTCTAGACTGTTTGGCATTCACATATAGACTGGAACCACACCTAAGTTTACTTCAACCAAACTGAGGCCTATATTTTTAGGGAGATCAGAGTTTGCTTTTTTTCCCTTTTTTTTTTTTTTTGGTCAGTATTAGAGCGTGTTTTTATTTTGCATTCACACCACCCCAATTGAAGCAGCATTGTTTCAATTCGGTAAACAAACTGGAGTTGGTCAAACAGAGTTGGTGTGAATGCACCCTACTCATCATAGCTTTAGGTATTGGAAATTTGTCCATTTTGTCTCTGGTATAGACTTGGTCCCTATTAAGATATATGGCACCCTCTATGTGGGTTACAACTCACACTTGGAAAAGCACTGGTCTAGACAAAATCAGGGAAACCATCTATGTAGAGAGACCCTATAGGGCAATTACCTTTGAAGAGCTTTGCTGGAATATTGTCTAGATGTTTTCTGTTAAAAACATTTTTCCATGTAACATTATGCACTAATTTAGTTTAATTAGTCTCGATACAAACCTCCAACATGGCATCGTAAACATAAAATCTAATTACGTTCTTTGGGCTTTATACAGAAAACTGCCAGTGGGTTCCTATAACCACAAACACCAGGTAGTTATTGAGCAACAAGAGAAACACCATGCTTTCGGAACAGAACCAATGTACAAGAAAATACTGGAAACAAGTAGCTTTATTGTCCAATATTAAAGCAGAGCTGTTGAGGTGAAAGAGAAAAAAAAAATCTATTAGCAGAAAATATTACATCCAGAATCCTCACAAGACAATCTCTGGAGGTCTTGAAATGCCTGACACACTTTGTAAAGTTATTTGAAAGTTTGAGTCATGAAAAATTTACAGATGGTTCCAGGATGTTTTGTCAAGCAGAAACTTAATAATAGATCTCAGGAAAGATATAGATTGCACAAAAGTTACCAATGCAGCCATATAGCAGCAAGATAATCTGCAGTAAAACTATGACCAATATGTGTAACTAAACAAGAATGCAGACAAATTTTGTTGTGAGACAAATGTTGTTTAAGTAAATCTGGGTTCAAAAAGGAGGATAATAAGCACAAACTATAGTTACCACACTTTCCATGACCACTATAAATTTGTACAAAACAAAAATCAGCGAATTACAGTGAAAACCTTTCTATGTTTCAAAAGTTACACATTTCTCCGTTGGTTTTATTTCCCCCCGCCTGTTGGAATATACACAGCAGTGACGCTAGTTAGCATTAGCTTCATTTCAGTTTGCAAATGTTTATCACTCACCAGAGAAAATCACAGCGGAAACAGATCTAACTGCAAGGGTCAGATCACTTATCTCCGCTTCCATTAATCATGACTGGGATTTATGAGCGTTTATCACATAACATGCTTTCTTTTTTTTTCTCAAAATGAAATAGCTTAGCACAACCTATGCTGCGGCCAGCTACGGCTACTTCTTCTACTCTTTTTGTTGTTGTGTAAACCACAGAGTGTAAGCCTCTAGTCCACCTACTGGCGGTTTCTGGTAGCAAAAAAAAAAAAAAAGTACAAACCCATTTGCTGTTGCGTTAAATTACAAGACTAAACCAGTTGAAACAAAACATATCAGATACTAATAATAATATTACACATATTTATGGGTGATACATTACAATGGTTGTGCTGGTGGCAGAAATTTGTCCTGTAATCGGTGCTGGTTCAAGCGCCACTCCATCCACCTCTATCTACCAAGTTGCAGCTTCAGAATGAGAATGAGAGTCAGATTGCAAGTGGCTGCAGTGTTTCTTGATTTTTTGTTTTGTTTGACAGGTTAGATAGACCACAATACATTAAAAAATATGAATTGTAAAAAATCATTTTTTTCATTGAAGATTGGGTAATTTATGTAAAGTAAACATTTAAATTGAAATGTTTCTTGTTCTAATGCTTGTGAATATAATAAGGGACAAATCTAGAAGTATGAACCAAGTTTATTATTCCAAAATGCAAAGTGGTTGTGTAGTGTAGAATTTTCATCTTTTAGCCGCTGCATTTTTCAATCTTTAAAAAAAAAAAAAAATTGTGAGGGTGGTAATTAGAAATGGAATAAAATTAGAAAAATCTAAGAGCAAGGTTAAATTGTATATCAGCTTCTTCAATAAGCAGAGCGGGGCACCCTGCAGTGAACTTGACTCATCACAGATCTCAGTACAATGGCAGACTGTCAACTTTTATAAATGGGGTTTTCCACTCACTCGTGTACACTGCCAAATATTCTCCCTGAGCTGTGCTCATCTTTGTCTCCTGACATCAAAAGACTCGTTTTCTCAATAAGACTAGATCAATCAGAGAGTGAAATGCTTTGATCCCCATGTGAGACCAGTTGGGAATAAAATCTGGCCCCATGCACTGCCTATCAGCATGTCAGAGAAGTGTATATTTATGTGCTTGACCTTAATAGGTATGATTGGCTAACCTCCATTTAGCTCTCCTCCAGCATCCTATCAATAAAAGTAAAAAGATAATGGGTTGATTCTTCCTGTCAAAAGAAGGTCCGCCACCAGGACCTGGGGAGTGGAAACACTCAGTGAGTGACACATCTTTACAAATACCTTTAGTCAAAAAAAAAAAACGCTTTAACGTGAGACATCAAAGGATGTGACAAGCTCAGTCAATACTGAGCCAACATTATTCACCTCCGACAGGAGTGCTTCTAGGTCTAGTCTTTCTGTTAGGAGAGATCTCAGCTGACAAAACACCATCAAATGAAACAAACACAATAATCAGATCGGAGCAATGGAAACAGGCCATGATGAATGATGGTTTTGCTAAAAAAAAATTTAAATTAATTCAATAATAAAGATGATGTCCAGATGATGTCATTATGTGACTTTTTCTTGTGATACAAGTCCAAGCTATTACTATGTGCCAATGTTATGAAGGAAATCCTGGACATATGTTTGCACTAGTGTAAAAGTAAGAAAGGTAATTTAGTTGCTGCCCTTTGTTCTGATGTAATCAACAGTCAAGGTAAAGATTCTCCAGAATTTTTTAACATGTTCTGTGTAGCAACAATGTTGGGTACACAGCAGAAAAAAATACCAGAGGAACAGAAATGTTGAATTAATGACTAATAAGGGTAGTGATGATAAAGAGGGTGCCGAATTTTTAGCTTCTCAGCTTCAGAAAAGGCCTATTTCCATTTTTGATCAAATGTTCTTCAAAATCTGAATTACTTGGACTGGTCAAAGTTGAAAAAAAAAAAAAAACTTTCTAAACACAACAGACATTCTTAAAAAAAACAGAGTAATTTATGACACATTTGTTGTACTGAATCCAAAGGCATCAGGACCACCTTAGTGTACGACTAGCATGAACATTGCAATATCTATTTTGGTCAAACGTGAACTAAATTATTTCACGTTGATTTTGAATCACATATGCCACACTTTGTGATTAGTGAAATCTTTAGCTGGAAGAACACAAAGGGGAGTCTTGGTTTTCAGAATCCCTCCAGCGGCAATTTATGCTCGAATTGCCACCGGTGGGAAAAGTCTCCTTGTCAAAGCTATCAACAAAATTAATATTCAGAAAAAAATTTATTCAGGTTTATCCTATTTAAACTGAACTAAATTAAGCCTTTAAAAGCTTTCTTTAATCAAACAGGCTTGACTGGAGAGCTCTAAGGAAAGAGCTTTTGTGGAGTAAATGTGATTGACTGCACAGGTTGAGACGTGAATTCATAAGTGCAACCACAGAAATACTCTGTGTGGTTCATTGTCATTTGAATTCCATTACTGCCTCATGCTGTGACCAGCGTTTCTTGAAAATATTGGTTGGAAGAAAATTGGAAATGCAATCTAATGCCAGGGACCCTCTTGCAACAGGAGCTGCAAAACACTGAGACAGATAGAATAGGGATGACTTCCACCGCAATAGACTTCCTGTTCTGTTATTCTTCTTCTGTCTTTTTATTTTTGTACCATTCCGATTTTCTCCTGTGTGCACACAATGGCTTGCTTCACAAAGGAGAATGAAAGAGGGAAAAAAAAAAGAGGCAGCAAGAGGAGGCCACACAGCAACACTTTCATCTATGCTGTGCTGACTCGGCTGAACTCTCCCTCTGAGAGGCTGATGAGGAAGAATGGCCTTGCAGAGGAGCCAACCGGGTGCATCCATAGCTGTCATCATCATCTGAATCCAAGATTGCTGAGTCCACAACTCTGGCCCCCTGCATGGATGGGAAATGACCTGTCTATGTTTGTCTGACGCCTCTTCTATCTACAGACAAGCCCCTTATCCTCTGTCTCCAACAACACTGCCCGGCTCCGCCTCGTCTGCGTGAGTCAACAAGTTCTTTTATTGTAAGGACTGCTGTGTCATGTTTCGAACCAGCAGTGTAATTTTTTGGATCTATTCTTGCTTTAGTGACAGATTCCCCTTGTTCTCTTAGGGAGCGGGAGACCAATTCATTGAGTCATTTATGTTAAAGTTGAGAAACATTAGCACTGCGGTTTGTCAGAGGATTTGAGTTAGCCAGAAAAGGATATTTTCTTACTCTTCTGTAGATAAAAAAAAAACACACATTAAACTGGGTTTCTTCCATTTGCTCAACTTGAAATTACTTTTTTTGTTGTTGTATATTTGTAATCATCATTATTCTGATGCTTATCTAGTCACAGTGAAGGATAATAAAAAAAAAATCTTGCTTATTTTTGCTGTTACACTGTTTTGCTGGTAATTAAACTACTATTTACATCCACTCATTCTCTTGCTACTTTTTTTGCTACTATTGTTGCATTTGAAACATTTCTTCTAAGTACTGTGATTTAAAATATACAAAATGAAAATAATTTTTTTAAATTAATTGCCTGAGTTTTAATTCACTGTTGATTTTTTGTTTTTTAAAAAGGGTAACAAATTGCACACAGTGGCTCAAAAGCCATTTCCATTGCAAGCTGAAAATAAAACACACTTTTTGTGGCCAACAATAAGCATTTCTGTTAGAATAATTGTGGTTGGAGAATTAATATTTTCTATCTTCAAAAATGGTAGAGCTCTTAAAAATTGGTCAGAGTGAACTTTTATACATAGTAGACATTTCTTGAGAATAAGGTGCATAAATGCTCCTTAGATGTAACAGATTGTTTAACAAAATGCTGTTTATTTGTCACCTTTGCACCCATGAAAAATATTTTTCAAGATACATGTGTATACGTGTCAATACAAAAGAGCAGCTTTGGGGACAGTAATTAGCATGTGGTGTTTGTTATATATTAGAAAAGACTGAACTATTTTCCAAATAAGACAAAACAAAATTATTAAGTTACTTTAAGCACATCAGTGAGTACGAACAAGATGTTGCTTAATTGTATTGAAATCATTCATCTAATTACGTTTGAACAAAACTTTATTCTACACTTCACATCGTAAATTTGACTTTATCAGGCTTTTAGTTCTTTCACTGAAATTTAAGTTTAGACTTTGACTTGTCTGACCTTTCTTCATTCTGAACCTAGAAACCTCTGGGGAGGCAAACTGGTGAATTTATTTTTTGTCTCTTTTCACTTATGCATTTTTGATAACCACATTCAGAAATTGTAGGTATGTTTTTGTGCGAGCTTGCTGCGTTGAGCTTCTGTTTTGCTGTAGGAAAGGATGATGGTGGAATGACAACTTTTGAAATTGAGGAGTCCCAAAGCATAAAGTATCCTTATGGCAAATATCTTATACTAAAGGCATCATCTTCTGCTACAGTGAAAGTTGCACTTTATTTGAATTTTGTTTGTAATATCCCAAATATAGATTTATTACTCACATAGTGGTATGCGTATGCCAGGCAAGTTTGGTATGACGATAAAATCAACTGAACAGGATGCAGTTACATTTTTGTTTAAATTTAATATTGTGCAGGATTTTTATTCAGGCCCAGTTTTCATTCACACCTCAGGTTCTTTTAAAGGGCATTCGTCTGATGCTGCATTTGTAGGTGCAGTCAACTGCTGAGCCTTTATGTGTCACCAGTTGCTCATTGGCCTAAAGTTTCTATTTTCAATTGACAGTAAATTTTGCATCTTATTTTTAATTTAGCAGAATTGGAAGAAGAGATGAGAGGCACATGCTCCAAGTTGACTGAGGTCAACTGATAATTTTGTGATGTGAGGGGGCCGATCATGTGCTGCTGTTGATCCACTGTGTTTTCTGAAGACAGAAGTTGCCACTGGTTCCTTCCAAAACATTTTAGAGCACGTTGTTCTTTCCTCTCCTGACAAACCTATTGGAGAGAGCGATTTAATTTTCAACACAACTTGACACCTTCCCACACTGCCAAAAGTACCAATGGTTACTTTAATGACTGGGTATCACTATGCTTAGGTCAGCAAACTGACCTGACCCGAACCCCACAGAGAATCTATGGAGTTTTGTCAAGGAGAAAGAGACCAGAGCCAATAATGTAGA